AAACATTTATATAAGGGATTAAACAAGGTCTTCAGCAGTCTGTCTGTCTGTCTGTCTGTCTGTCTGTCTGTCTGTCTGTCTGTGTGTCTGTCTGTCTGTCTGTCTGTCTGTCTGTCTGTCTGTCTGTGTGTCTGTCTGTCTGTCTGTCTGTCTGTGTGTCTGTGTGTGTGTATCTGTGTGTCTGTGTGTCTGTCTGCCTGTGTGTGTGTGTGTGTGTATCTGTGTGTCTGTCTGCCTGTGTGTCTGTGTGTCTGTGTGTCTGGTGTGTGTGTGTGTGTGTGTGTGTCTCTGTGTCTGTCTGTCTGTGTGCGTGTGTGTGTGTGTGTGTGTGTGTCTGTGTGTTGTGTGTCTGTGTGTCTGTCTGTCTGTCTGTGTGTGTGTGTGTGTGTGTGTCTGTCTGTGTGTGTGTGTGTGTGTGTGTGTGTGTGTGTGTGTGTGTGGTCTGTGTGTCTGTGTGTCTGTCAGCAGCAGTAGATACTGCTGCTGTGTACATCCTCTGGATTAAAGGCAGCCATGCGCGGCACATCCATACGACACACATCACCTCACTCATACGCCCAAACTTCATTGACACAGTTGTAGAGGCATGTGCAGCCAAACGAGATCCCTGATCCCCTGAAAATACCCCAACACCAATTCCCCCAACCAACTAGCCAATAACAGTGAACAAAAATGTTCAAATACAGAAAAGTCTGGAGCAGTTTTTTTGTAAATTCTCTTGAAATGACATTTGTTACGAATAGGTGCCAAAGGTTATTCGATTGATTGATAAATATTCACAGTTTATCTCCATCCTCAGGCACATATCCTTGATCTTCACCCCTTTTCATCTCATTTGAATTTAAAATATTGTTCTCAATTTAAAGAGGAAAGCGTAAGAAAAACTGAATTATCCAATGAAATACAGCCACAGAGCTAAACTGATGATATAATATGACATTTTTTATCCTTGACAGCATCACATATATTAAAAGTAATACGGAATAAGGAACAAATAGTGCAATATTACTTCGACCTGCTTTGTTTACACATTTAATTACAAACTAATGATGATTGTGTGTGTGTGGGTGTGTGTGTGTTTGGATATTTTCTACTGTACTTGTGTAGGTATATATATATACATGTGTGTATATGTATATATTTGTTTTTATTCTATATATTTATATTTTTATAATTCTGGCATGGCAGTAAAATTCATTGTACTCTTGTGCAATGACAATAAAGTCTATTCTATTCTAATAGTGGAAATGGATTAATTGCAATTTTCTTAGAGTGTTCAAATATATTCTGAAGGTCAGCTGTAAAAACATGCACACATAGTATGCATGCATGGAGTTAAAGAGGAACATAAAGGATGGGACTTGGCTTCTTCAAATCCATACAGGCGGGTGGCTGTGTGCTTTGTGTATGAAAGTAGCAGAATAACATGTCCCTTAATTGATTTAAATGTTTAATTTGTATAATTTGAAGGCTAAGCAATGGATTAAAGCTCAGCTTGGTCAGCAAAAGTCAGTGTTCTCTCTCTCTCTCTCTCTCTCTCTCTCTCTCTTTCAGAAGCACACACACTGGCACAGTCTTCCATCTATTGACACGAGGTGTCACCATCTGTCTCACACTCCTATATGCACAGATACAGCAGCAGGAACCTCTGATACGGCTGCTTCTGTTCTGCAAACAGAACATCAGGGTCCTTCACAAGAACAGGCTTGCAAATGGCCGTAGCAAGTGTTTAATTTAGTGTCTGTGCATGTGAGTGCACATACATCTGTATAATGAAAATGTGAAATCAAATGATTGGAACAAGAGGGGGACTATCACTCCCGTCTTTATTACTTACTCCCTCTTTCCCGCCTAATGAAATATGTTATTCCTGCTCCTGCCTAATCGAAGCCAATTAGGTCTCCTGTGCACTCGCTGGCTGAGCAGGAACACACTGATAACACGCTTCCTGCAGGCCACAGAATTTTAAGTAGCAGTTCTTGTTCATGTGTGTTAGGCAGAGGCATTCATTTCATCAATTATCTCACCAGGGCAAGATTATTATTTTTATTTTTCTACATTCCTTTGTCAACTTTACATGCCAGGAAAAATAATAACACTGCATTCAACACTCTGTCACGTACTCGTCCTACACTGGTTGTGAGGTTGTAAATGGTTTGTTTGGAAGAGTGGATTTGGATTTTTTTTTTCTAATTGGACTTGCAAAAGCTAGATCTTTCTTGCTGGAATTTTTCCAAAATGTCTTACACCTTATGACAATGGAGGAAATGGTGAAAAAAATAGTTAAAGGGATACTTCACCCATTAGCATTAATCTTTGTATCATTAGAAACCTGGTAGTATTTTTGAATGGTCGTGCATCCCGCCCTCATTTTCCCCTGAGATGTGAAATCTTTGTATTTCTGAGTCTGAAAAGGAGCTTCCAGTGACGCAAAATGATGATTTTTGCGTCATTGGAAGCTGTTGTGGTTAGCGCGGTGAAACTACAACACTAGTTCCTCATATTTTTGACCACTGAAGCTACAGACCAATCACAGATCAGTGGGTGGGAACTCACTCCCAGAATCAAAACTTAACGTCCGCCATATTGCTTGGAAGCTAAGCTAACAGGCTCTATGGAGAAAGCTGATAATGGCGAAAAAAAAAAAAGAGGATTCATCCCATAGAAGTATATGGACTACAGCAATCCTAGGACACAGCTGTCTGCAGAGATGGCTAGTGAGTCATGAGTGATTATTTTGTTTGAGTCTATATGCTGTTGCTGATTTTTTTCAGGAACTCTGACTCATCGTGCCTTTAAAGGCTTTATATGTGATTTTTTGATCCAGCAGATGTCGCCCTTGAGCACCAGCATGAAACCAAAACAACTGGCGCTGCATTGTTGTGTTAGCATGCTAATGCTAGCGATCTTTATTATGCTGGTATCTTCACACTGCATGTAAATTTACCTGAAATGAGCGTGATCTAGAAACACAGTCTATTACATTTAAGTGTGAAAAATCGCGTATTACAATACATATCGCAGGGCAAACCCCACACGTCTCCTTTTTATTTCTACCCCATCAATTTCAACTCAACCTTGTTCAGTTCACACTCAGCCCCACTGATTTATTCACTGATTTCTTTGGTGTGTACTATATTTTCACTTTAATGAGCCAAATGACAGAAGGGGAAGCCTGCAGCACTGGATGTGTGGTGAGACAGTTTTATGTGTTTGTGTGTGTGTGCAGCAGCCATTGCTACCCGTTGGCTCTGGTTCACAGTCTGCTCTCGGTTTACAGAGTGCAGTGTGAAAAAATGAGCAGAATATGAAAAAAGTAAAGAGCAACTTCAGAGGTTTTCTTCATGCATTTTTTTTTCTAAACTTTTCAGACATGTGGGTAACATTGTGTTGGTTACATCACATACACAGTCAGGATGTCTGCTTTATAGGACTCCTTCTTTGTGACCATGCATTCTGCACATTGTGCTGTATTAAGCTCAACTGTGCAAAATACAAACTCCTTTTTCCATCACTTGTGTACCATCCATTTGAAATGAATTATTATTATGAGATCGCTGGTAATTTAGGTGTTGGATGTGAAAGGCTGCAACTTCGCTGCTTGAAATAATAAAGGCTTAATAGTAAAGTTAATTGAAAATTGTATTTTTAGGATCGCAGTGACAAAGTGGATCATTTAATAATGAAGTTCACATTTCATCCATGAATATTCAATCAGTTTCATCTCCATCAGTGTAGAAGATGTTATATTGCCTGTGAGCGCCTTTCCATCTAATACATATGCAATGAGTGTCACTTTGGTATCGTGGCACCTATATCAGGAAAAAGCCCGCTCTGCCTCTATAAAAACGTGGTGTCTGTAAATGTCACAGTCGGTGGCTTATCCAGCATGGTAAATGTCAGCCAGGCCATGTCACTAATGCAACTGCACTTCACAACAGTTGTTGAAAGAAACCACTACAACATGCAAACCGCAGAGTCCCCCATCATGGTCAGGTTCAAAACATCATGTTGCAGCAGGTATGTATTAAACACCTCGGCTCCGACAGGCAGTGAGAGGAGAGGTTGTGAGCGATGGAGGTAGTGAAATACGCACCAACACGAGTGGGTCTTGCCGTCATCAGCATTTCCAAAAATAATCACTTTCTACACTGCCCGTTTGATGATTTGTACCGCAATCAGCCAGGATCCAGCAAACAATTTCATTGAGTCCATAAATATAGTCTATTATCTGTGTGTTTTGCAGTAAATAAGGTGTGACAGGTTTCCTTTAAAGACACTTCAGCTGTTATCAAGGCTATGCAGGGGGTGTCAAAACGTGTGCTATGAAGTCTGCAGGTCCAAATCAAAAACACCTCACTGCATCCAGTGAAACCATTTAGAAGGATTGTGGTAGAGCGATGTGTTTCCTTCTAGTTAATGGGTGAGTTTATTTCATGCTTTGCGATGTTTTGCTCCTGTTTATTGGCTGTCAGGGGTTGGGATGGTTAAAATCACACAAATCAGTAACATTTCAAATATTTAAAATGTAAAAAAACCTCCAATAAAAAAAAGCTATCCAGTGATCTAAAGCTGCATTGCCATATTAAAAAAAAGGGGGAACTGCTTCAGATAGAATTCAAAGGACAAACGTGTTTGACATTTACCAGACAGTGAGGGTTGACTGTTGAATATCTCTCAAACTCCACGTCAGCAGTATCTAGCACAGGCTTCATTTCAATAAATAGTAGATGGAAGTCTCAGAGCATAAACCTTTTTGAATTTAACATAATCTAATTTAATCCCAAAAGCTCCTCCAGAGCCACAAAATGACGTCATGAGATCTCGTACTGCATATTAAAAATGATTGGTTTCAGCACTTGTTCTCCCGTAAAAGACAACAACGTCCATCAATTCAGTGTGTGCTCTTTAAATAACCCTTTGTTTACAGTCAAGAGAAAAGCCCTCTAGTGGTCGGGGTAATTATTGCTCCAGTTTGTTCTATAAGCAAAGGAGGAAGTCAGGTGACGTTATTAAAGATGAAAATAGTCTGGGAGAAAGTCAGAATGACGGGATGAATCAACAAAGAACTGGACTATACCGGGGGACACGTGTTTAGTTCCTGCTGATGATAACATCGCCATAAATGTTCCTTTACAATGTAATTCATATTGTTAACATGACAACAAAGGTCGTCAAACCTAAAAAAAAGGTCCGTCCCGGCGATGTAAACAAACTGAAGATAGGACTCAGAAAACTAGAGACAGTCATGACTTACAGAGTCATTTTCAGAGGATATACTTGATTTATATTACAGTGTGAAAAATCACATATAAAGACTTTAAATAATCCACCTGTCATTTTGTGCCTTGTATGGCTATTTAATAATAATTATTATTATACAAAAGTTAATACAGAATACAGTTTAAAAAACATTTCAGATTTAAGTCTTCAACGTGGAACACAGCTATTTCTTTTCCTGTTTGTCACCAAGGTGCATTCTCCATAGCTGAAAAGTAATTCCAACATAGAAGTGTAGAAAACTGCAGTTCCTCCAGTGGCCACTTGAGGCTGGCTCCAAAAGCCCATAAAATCCCCATCAGTCTCGATGATAGGAAAAGTCAGTTTTCCAACTTTGGAAAAGGCTTGATTTAGAAATAATCCCAACAAGAAAATGTCAAGGTAACTCCTCAAAAACACATGAACATGCTCCACCTAGTTTTGATTTATGGAGTTTTGTTGAGATGTAAATGTGTCGTTTTTCTTACCTCTTTTTTTTTTTTTTTAAAGGAGTAGACAAATAAAGTCATGCACAGGGGTGTGAGGTCAGAGGAAACTCATTATCGACTGTAATTTTTAATGGACAAAGTCTGAGCGATGTCACCCGCTCTGGTACTGGTGTGGAAGGTATCTTGACGATCTATTACCTCGCGCTCGCCTGTCAATCAGGTCATCCACGTGCCATATTCTGAATACAGTTCCTTCATTGGATCAAAACAGGTGAATTATCAAAAAACTGCACCCTCTGTACAGTGTGTGCCGATTGAGACATGAGCTACTCAGAGCAATTTTGTTTTTTTGGACCAGGCTTTTAACATTTTAATTCTGCTGTAAAAACTGGCTTTTTTGGATCGGGTGTGTATATTTGACTTCCGGTGGTTCTGCAGCCAGCCTCAAGCAGACACTCGTGAACTGCAGGATTTTTGCACTTTCACAAGGCTTCATTTTTCAACACCGGAGATTACCGCTTGCCTATGAGTCATTAGAAAAAGTACTTAACCAAAAACACATTTTGTTATTCAGTTTATTGGACTAGTTGGTTTCATCAGTTCTGTAAGTGCTCCGTGGCTTTAAAGTCTTTCTATGTGATTTTTCACACTTAAATGTAGAAATCAAGTTTATCCTCTGAAAATAACTCTGTGAGTCATGACTGTCTACAATGGGTGTAACACCCGAGTCCCACTGTCTGTGATGTTTTCAGAGTTTTCAGAGTCCTATCTTCACTTTGTTTACATCGCCAGGATGGCCGGCTGACTCCTCCCCTCGTGTATAAAAGTTGTCTAATTGAGGGACTAGAGAAAAGAAGAATAACATACTGTACTCACTGCTTAACTGTGTTTCTAGATCACGCTCATTTCAGGTAAATTTACATGCAGTGTGAAGATACCAGCAGAATAAAGATCGCTAGCATTAGCATGCTAACACAACAATGCAGCGCCAGTTGTTTTGGTTTCATGCTGGTGCTCAAGGTCGACATCTACTGGATAAAAAAAATCACATATAAAGCTTTTAATACGATTTTATTTTGCAGAGAAGTGCAGCAACATATCGGGAATCTGAAGGTGACATGACGCAATCTGCTCCATAAACACTACATCAGAGTTATCGACAAAGAAGAGGAGGAGATTGAACAAACATGGTGAAGAAGAAGTAATCAAAGTCCTGAGTGACGGAGAGAGTGATGATGGTGACGGCAGCTGCACAGGGTCAAACATCCTTTCTCTTTTTTCTTTGGAAGATTGATGTGTGGGTATAGTGTAATGGAGAGAAATAAAAAAAAACAAATTAAAAAGGAGTGGAAACCTGCGGGAGTGTGCAGCAGTCTTGGTGAAAAAAAAAAAGGTGTATTGGTGAGTGAAACTATTGAGGTGAAACTACAATATGTACCAGCAGCTCAAAACAAAAATAATTCTCACTTATTATGTCGAGCTGTGAACACACAGCATCATAAAGAAGGTGCTCAATCTCAGTGTTTCTACACAAGTAGCCCACACACACACACACACACACACACACCTCATCAACCCAGAGAGCCGGGTTGAGCCGTTAAGAGATGGAGATGGATGAAAATAGCATGTGTTGATTGGTAAAGTAGCAGGCAAGTGCAAGACTGATGATGCACTTCAATGTTCTTTCTTGTCACCAGATCATGTTAAGTTAGTGTTATTTAGGATCACTCGTTTGCCTCATGTAAGGTTTGACAGGCTGCGTCATTTTGTGACACGCATGGCACGTCTTTAG